CCCAATACTAAACCTAAGCTTCGCAAACATTTCTATGTTCAGTCACGGGATATTCAACTCTTGTTTAATTAAACTTAATTAAAATGCAATTCTCCATTGTATTGCATTGTAATTGAGTTTAATTAAACTCCAATTAAAACGCAACCCTATATAGGAACGCGTTTTAATCGAGTTCATATCGCAACTATATTAAAAGTTAATTCAACTATATTAAAAGTTAATCCAATGAAGTCCTCGGAACATATTGCAATACAAGTATGTGTGTGTGTGTATGTCTGTATGCTTACCTGTGTGTGTGTATGTCTGTATGCCTGCTTACCTGTGTGTGTGTGTGTGTGTATGTCTGTATGTCTAACTTGTCTGCCCTTTGCCTACCTATTTCTAATTCACTGAGAGAATTTATTTTCTACATACATGCAGTTGTAATGGACTTATGGCCACGCAGTGGTAGATGTACAATGATGGCAAAGAGATCACTCTTATATGCTGGTACATTTGGTATTGCTTCACTGCTGTGTGGGGTCATATTTGTTGATCGATTCAATCCAAAAAAGGCCAGAGCAACAATTGACAAAGTTGTAAACACTATTAAAACACGAAAAGTAAGTAAACAATATCAAATAACTATTCAGAATTTATGAATTTTGGAACATTCAATTGTTCATATGAGCAGTTTTCATTGATTACCGGTACTTTTAATTATTCAAAAAATATTTCAAAATGTTATAAATATTTAATTGATATATTTGAAACCAATGATAACATGTTGTTTACATATTTAAGACAAAGGTATGGATGTATCCTGAAGGAACTCGTAGTGCTGGCACTGATAAAAGTATGTTGCCTTTTAAGAAAGGTGCTTTCCATATTGCAATAAAAGCACAGGTAGGAATTACTTATCATGAATCATTTTAAATCAAATCATGTCTCATGCAGCAATATAAAACGCTATGGGTCCCATGCAGCAATATAGAATGCTATGGGTCCCATGCAGCAATATAGAATGCTATGGGACCCATACAGCAATATAGAATGCTATGGGTCCCATACAGCAATATAGAATGCTATGGGACCCATGCAGCAATATAGAATGCTATGGGACCCATACAGCAATATAGAATACTATGGGTCCCATGCAGCAATATAGAATGCTATGGGTCCCATACAGCAATATAGAATGCTATGGGTCCCATGCAGCAATATAGAATGCTATGGGACCCATACAGCAATATAGAATGCTATGGGACCCATACAGCAATATAGAATGCTGTGGGTCCCATACAGCAATATAGCATGCTATGGGTCCCATACAGCAATATAGAATGCTATGGGTCCCATACAGCAATATAGAATGCTATGGGTCCCATGCAGCAATATAGAATGCTATGGGTCCCATACAGCAATATAGAATGCTGTGGGTCCCATACAGCAATATAGAATGCTATGGGTCCCATACAGCAATATAGAATGCTATGGGACCCATACAGCAATATAAAATGCTATGAGACCCATACAGCAATATAGAATGCTATGGGTCCCATACAGCAATATAGAATGCTATGGGACCCATACAGCAATATAGAATGCTATGACACCCATGCAGCAATATAGAATGCTATGGGTCCCATACAGCAATATAGAATGCTATGGGACCCATACAGCAATATAGAATGCTATGACACCCATGCAGCAATATAGAATGCTATGGGTCCCATGCAGCAATATAGAATGCTATGGGACCCATGCAGCAATATAGAATGCTATGACACCCATGCAGCAATATAGAATGCTATGGGACCCATGCAGCAATATAGAATGCTATGACACCCATGCAGCAATATAGAATGCTATGGCACCCATGCAGCAATATAGAATGCTATGGCACCTATGCAGCAATATAGAATGCTATGGCACCCATGCAGCAATATAGAATGCTATGGGTCCCATGCAGCAATATAGAATGCTGTGGGTCCCATGCAGCAATATAGAATGCTATGGGTCCCATGCAGCAATATAGAATGCTATGGCACCCATGCAGCAATATAGAATGATATGGGACCCATGCAGCAATATAGAATGCTATGGGTCCCATACAGCAATATAGAATGCTCTGGGACCATACAGCAATATAGAATGCTATGGCACCCATGCAGCAATATAGAATGCTATGGCACCCATACAGCAATATAGAATGCTATGGCACCCATGCAGCAATATAGAATGCTATGGGACCTATACAGCAATATAGAATGCTATGGGTCCCATACAGCAATATAGAATGCTATGGGACCCATGCAGCAATATAGAATGCTATGGGACCCATATAGCAATATAGAATGCTATGGGACCCATACAGCAATATAGAATGCTATGGGACCCATACAGCAATATAGAATGCTATGGGTCCCATGCAGCAATATAGAATGCTATGGGACCCATACAGCAATATAGAATGCTATGGGACCCATGCAGCAATATAGAATGCTATGGCACCCATGCAGCAATATAGAATGCTATGGGTCCCATACAGCAATATAGAATGCTATGGGACCCATGCAGCAATATAGAATGCTATGGCACCCATGCAGCAATATAGAATGCTATGGGACCCATACAGAAATATAGAATGCTATGGGACCCATACAGCAATATAGAATGCTATGGGACCCATACAGCAATATAAAACGCTATGGGACCTATGCAGTAACGTAGGATGCATGCTGTATAACTGCCCTCATCATAATTCTCAATACCTCAAATACAGCGCATCAAAATATAATGCAATGAACTGTCATATTAGCCATCATAAAAGGAGAGTCATGTCTGCCATTCTGTGTGTTGTGTATTTTCTTAGAAAGAATTCCCGTGTGCTGAGAGTTGTACTTGAGATATTGATGGAATAGCTGAAAACTAATTATGTAAATCAGGTAACTGATATGAAAAGTTTTGAGTGTAAAACTAATAAGGCCTGCGTAATAGCTATGTACCAAGTTTCATTGAAATGTGATTAGGACAAAAAAACTATGAATTATTATTAGAGAATTAATATGAACAAATTTCAACCCAAATTTAATCGGGCTTGTCTATTGTTCTAGAGCATTTATGTACCAAATTTTATTCAAATGTGATGATCAGTAATTGAAATATCAGTGTTAATTAATTATTTTAATTAGGTGATTAATAAGCATAAATATTTACAATATACCAAAAACTAATTGGGTCTCTGCATAGTCTTAGGTTCATTGAAGTATGATGATGAATACTCAAAAGTTTCATTAAAATCCAATTAGTGGTTCTTTATATATCAGTGGAACATTCATGGAAAAAATTAACTAACAAGTCATTGAAAATGACACAGTCCCCGTTAAGTTCTCTTTGTGCTCGTCATATTAAAGTGGAGGGATTGTCGCGAGTGTGTCCTTGAAACTTGAGTTCCAAGTGGCATATACAACAGATTGTTTATTTACATCAAAACACGTGTTTTGTGTCATAGTAATATGGCCAAAATAAAAACAGCCGTTATTCGGCCATCTTTGATCTGATTATGAAACACACTGATATGTATGATGTATGTGCCAAATACGAATGAAAATGGTACATAAATTGTGGAAATATAGTAGTAAGGCCAAAAAGTCAGATGGCTGTCAATCGGCCATCCTTGACCAGATTTTGAAACAAATTGTCATGGACATGCATTCTAACATGTATAAAGTACATGTATGTGCCAAATTTGAATGAAAACTGACAGAGCACGTCCAAGATACCGCAAAAAACAAAAACAAGATGCCTGCCAGTCGACCATCTTTGATCCAATTGTGAAATAAATCGTCATGGACATGTATCCTAACATGTATAATCTATGTACCAAGTTTGAATGACAACTGACAAAGCATGTCCAAAATACAACATTTTCAAAAAACAAGATGGCTGCCAGTCGGCCATTTTGAATTGAATCGCTAAACCACTGCATGTGCATAAGTCCCACATATAAAGGTACTAGGCACATGCAAAGAATGAACGAAATCGGTCCACAGGATTCTGAAATATGATGTTGGACAGACTGATGCACGGACAGACGGACACACAGACAGTCGGACGGACAGACTCAGGAACTCACGGATGGTCAAGGACATGTATCCCAACATGTATGATCTGAGTACTAAATTTGAATGAAAACTGACAAAGCATGTCCAAAATACAACATTTTCAAAAAACAAGATGGCTGCCAGTTGGCCATTTTGAATCAAATCGCTAAACCACTGCATGTGCATATGTCCCACATAAAGTACTCGGCACATGCAAAGAATGAACGGAATCGGTCCAAGGGATTCTGAGATATGACTCCGGACGGACGCACGGACACACAGATACACGGACGAACGGAGACCGAATTATAAGTCCCCGTTTTCGGACTTCGTCCGAACGGGGACTAATTATGCGAATTAGGTAATTAATATCCACAATTATTTACCCTAAAACTAATCAGGTCTCTGCATAGTCCTAGAGAATCTATGTAGCAAGTCTCATTGAAATATGATGATCAGTACTTGAGTTATCAGGCGAAAAGCTGAAAATTAACAAATTATGCCAATAAGGTGATTAATATGCACAAATATTTATCCCCAAACTGATCAGGTCTCTGCACAGTCCTTAAGTAACTTGTACCAAGTTGAAATATCAAAAGCTGAAAATTAATTAATTATGCAAATTAGGTAATTAATATGTACTGATATTACACTAAAAACTATCAGGTCTGTGCATTGTCCTATGACATCTATGTACCAAGTTTCATTGAAATGTGATGATTACTACTTGAAATATCAAAAGCTGAAAATTAATTATGCAAATTAGGTAATTTATATTTACTGATAATACACTAAAAACTATCAGGTCTGTGCAGTGTCCTATGATATCTATGTACCAAGTTTTATTGAAATGTGATGATTAGTAATTGAGATATCAGTGGAAAAGCCAAAAATTTATCAAATCTGCACATTAGTTCAGAGCATCTACATGTATGTGCCAAATTTCATCAAAATCCAATGAGTGGTTCTTCAGTGGAACAATCATGGAATAGCTAAAAATCAGCTAACTATCATGCAAATTAGGTAATTATTGTGTATGGATTTTTACCAAAACCTAATCAAATCTGCACATTGGCCCAGAGCATCCATGCACCAAGTTTCATCAAAAATCAATGTATGGTTCTTGAGATATCAGTGGAACAGAGACACACACACTAACTGCAAAGACTCCCTTTTTGTGCATCGCACACGGGAGTCAAAAATGCAGTATTCAATGTCTTTTTAAATGTGTTATCTTTATTCAAACTTATGTTGTATATTTTTACACGTCACTGGAACACATCAGCATGTATGAATAACTGGTTGGCTAATATATTAAACCTCAAAACATACCACTTATGTAAGAAATACAGTTCTTACTACTTTCCATTTGACCTATTTGCTCATATAAACTGATGGGAATGGTAAAATATATCTTTTTTATTCAGCATTCTTTTTTTCTCATGTTGGTTCAGTTATGGGACCATTTATTTTTCTGTCCACTTAAAAATTGTTTACTTAATACAAGACTTTTATTTTGTTTTAATACTATGGTGAGATTATTTTTATTTCAGGTTTTGCAGTGACTAAACTCTATCAAAGTTATAAGATTGACATTTGCACTTACTCAAATATTTCAACATATTTTGGACAACCTCTTACAAATTGATCCTCGATAAAAGACACTTGGAAGAACGTCAATCAATTCTTCGCTTGAGTTATGCAAATGTTGACCTTGCAGTGCATGGATCGAGTAGTGCTTCTAAGGAAATTATTACATGTACATTAAAACCCAGTAATATCACACTGTTAACTTTGTAAATTCTGACTATTATGACTCGTAAATATTTGCAGAAATACTTAGGTCGCTTAATGTTATTTTACTATTCATCATAAGTGACAAATTGTAAAATTCTGTCGTTTTATTGGGCGTGTCTCTCCAGAAATTGTAGTGTCCATTTCAGTTGTTCAAGGAAGTGTGAGAACCAACTTTAATTTGTATATCATACTAGGTTCCAATTATTCCGGTGGTGATATCAAACTACAAAGATTGCTATGATCCAAGAGGACATACCTTTGAACAAAGTAAGTTGTTATAAAGTATCATACATGTCAGAATAAAGACATTATTATTTGCTGGTTATCTTAAATATGGCTGTACAGTGTGTAATATGTTTTGATATTTATTGTCATTTGGCAGTTAATGTAAAAGTGTGTGTTTTGCCACCAATACCAACAGAAGGAAAAACAGTTGATGATGTAAACCAACTAACTGAAGATGTATGGGAAGTGATGCTGCAAACTTATAACAAAATATCAAATAACAATTGAGACAGGAGGAGTACATCGGCTATGGATTACTGTATTTACATTTTAATAGATTTTATTATATTGTAAAATGACTAAGTCTTTATTGTTATGCATTCAATTGATTTAATAGCTGAAAACAAGTCTATGACATTGTAAAAGTTTTAATTGTAGATAACTTACATGGATAGTTTGTCTTATACTTACAGTATCATTAAGATATGGTATTCTATTTGATGCAAACAATTTTGAACTGTTTTTTTTTTATATTTATAATAATTTTGTGCAATTCCAATTAAGGAAAGAAAAGTTTTAATAATTGTGTCATGAGTTAACATTATTTTATAATCTCTCAAAGTTGCTTTGTGAGCATTCATGACATATTTGGTTTGGAACAGAAGCAAATTGCTGAGAATCCACACACTTTGGAACTCTAATCAAAAGCATTAGCAAAACGATTGTCAGCATTCTGATGCACTCAAATTTATTCTTATATTTTCTACAATTCCAAGACTATTTGTATGGGAAGTGTATGTAGCAAATAAAATTAAATGAATATTTTTGCTAAAAAGATATTTTCAACTTTCAAAAATGACAAGCCTGATATTTTATATGTACTACTTTCAGCCAGCTACATGTACTAGTCGAAAAAAAAAATATTTGTCACTTCATGAAACAAACTGCTTTGATACTTTATATGCAAGTATATTGGGTGTACCCTCAGTCAGATTTGTTATTACCAGTGCGTAAAACAAATATTTGTTCATTATTCCCTAATTTTAGTGAATATTTGATGCATTTTTTTTTATTTATGTATTTCACCTGAAAGACCATTATAACAGAACTTATAAACAAAATATAGTAGTAGTAATTCCGGCGTGGACCATGGAAATAGTCCTTATGGACTAGTTCAGTCCATGGCCCAGACTGTCAAGTAGAAATTTACAATTTTCTGGTAAAGGAATGGAAAATTATTACATAACGAAAATTAAAAGGTAATCTATATGATTTAGATATAAATATGACTAAAAAATTATGTGTATTTTTTTTTTTTTTGCAGAGAAATGGGAGGTAATCGAGGAATTTAACAAAGCAAATAATGTTTCATTTCATATTTAAATTTGTTTCTGTTGTTGATGTTTTTGAGGGAGTCTGGAAGTGAATTCCAGTGTTTTACTGCAGCAACTTTAAAATTATGTTGTGAAACTGTAAGTTGAGCAACAGGAATTGACAAGTTACCGCTAGACACTGAACTTGTGGGATAGCAATGTGGATAATCATTAACATACTTATTGAGGCTATGTGCATATGTTTAAGGTTGAAATAAATAGGCATTTTGGCTCAATTGTCTAGAAATTTTATGTATAGGTTCCTTGGATAGAGCTATACTAGATTTATTAATTTTAGCCTCATATCGCTTTATTTTATTTTATATTGACAACATTTTGTGAATAAAACATTCATTGGTTTTCTCAAAGAATTTTACAAAAAAACAAAACAAAGAATGCCAGCCCGTATAATTGGACCTCTTGTAGCACCACCTAGGAATGAAAGAACAAAATTATTTGAGATCTCATTCCAGCATTGATAATCAACAAATACATGGCATATAATGTAAGAATTCAGTCAATCAATGTTTAGCTTCCATTGCGTGAGGTCTCATTCCAGCATTGATAATCAACAAATACATGGCATATAATGTAAGAATTCAGTAAATCAATGTTACTATGTAGCTTCCATTGCGTAATGAAAGAAAAAACCTGTGATATTCTGTCTTGTCAGATATATTTATTTTGAAACTGTAATTACATTAGAACATGATTTTTCAAAATACAATCACTTTGACTTGCTTTAATAAAGTTTTCTTTTGTATATGATGTGTGTATGAAATACCGTTGTTGTCCAGGCAAACCCCGGTATTCTTTATAGAAGGGTGAAATAATGCTGTCAACCAAATGACCAATTTGTCACTCTCTGAGGGTGACGTACGAGAGAAGCAATAACGCAGTCTAATAATTGAGTGGTCCAAAAAGTGCTACATGTATCTAATAACCTAGTTAACTGGACATTTATAATAGACATGCAAAATGCAGTTCTGACAAATAAAACTAATTTGATAAAAATGTAGTTAAAACAAATATAAGACGAGCATACAGTGTTTTTCTTTTTCAATTCACATCATTCTGTGGGCTTTAATAATCTATTGTCTTATTTATAGACTAACAACTAGATAGTCTTGTGATAAGAGTATGACATGAAATCAGCATGTGGACAGTTTTATAAATATAGTTAGCATCCTGGTACGTCACAAAATCTGTTATCCATCAAACAATGGCTGCAGCCTCTGTGGGAGAAACAAAAAATAAACATTTGAGTGAAACAATAACCACCTTTGAACTCCTTAATTTTTCCTGTCTAAATATTGACAATATTTTAGTATTTTTTTTTAATTAATTTCAGAGTATTTAATACACCTCGACATTTTCAAAATGATATAGAAATGTTTATGTTGGTTAGTTTAACCAAATATTATGGTCCATAAAAGAAAGCACAGTAGTTGTGTTCAGGTTTTTATATACTGGTAATTGACTATTTTACCTGTTGTCTTTGAGTCAATGTCATTTGTTGCTTTGGCTTCATCTGTAAACAACAATATCATCATCATTGCAAATAAACAACACTTTGATTATCAAATATTTGAATTTTAAATGAAATTTTATGCTTATGATCAAATAATAATTCACTGTGTTAAAATTTGAAATAAATGTAGGACTCAATAATTAATTATTTTCATCCCAAATCAAAAACGGTTGTCTAAGACAATCAGCTGAAGAGGCCGAGGTCAGAACTGCAAAATAACTATTCTCAAAAATCATTTAAGTTTGTTAAGTTTCCAATTCGCATATTAATTGCTCATAATCATGGACTCAATATGTTAATTTTATTAAAATACAACTTCCATTTCGACATAAACCGTTGCAAAGAACAAATTTGTTTAATATGGATAATAGTACCTTTTTTTTCCTCCTGTTCTTCTGCAGCAGTTCTGTCAGCTCGGAAGAATATACGGGCACTACTTAAACTGTAGTATAACAAATCAAATTCCTGTAAAAAAACAAGAGTTTATAAATAGTTACCATAGAGGGCACTATTTACATTGGATCAGGAGTTATGGATTCTGTGCAATTCCACACTTCACTGCATAGAAGTGGATATAACTTCATTATCTGTTTTTATTTTAAAAGTCATAAATATCACAGTGAAAGGATTGCGAGAGTAAAAAATAGCAGAATGGGGAAATTATTTAACTAGCCAGGGACCTGGTCCATCCTTAGTAGTCTGTTCCAGGTACAGTCAAAACTCGTTAGTACGAACTTGGTTACAATGAAATACCGGTTACAACGAACAAACTGGGAAGTCCAGTTTGAAAATCCATTATCCCTATGGTAATTGACAATGCTTAGAATGAACTTGTTTATTACGAAAACCCGCTTAGTACGAATGGATTTTATCTGAAAAACAATGGTCTGTAACACCTATAGCGAACATTTCATTCACTCAAGCAGCTGTGAAATCCTAAAACGAACCGCCAAATACACGGTGTTACGCTTCCGCTGTTGGAAGTGGGCTTGAACTGTGCTGCGTAAAATAAAAACAATGTAGCCATTGACTTGACGAGAAAATCTTTTGTGTACGTGACTTCTAGTGTCTAGTCACTTTCGACGCCTTGCTGCTTGAGTTTTTAATTTTAAGATTCACAATAAAAAAGTGTGAAGCATGGACGTTGTAAATTTTAGATAAATTACGGCGACTACGAGTGAGATGCCAGTTTCCGTCCTGACTTCAAAATGTCAACAACTCATGTCAAACGACGTGCCTTGTCGTTGGACTGTAAAGTCCAAATAATCAAATCGACGATGTTGAGCAGGCATTGCTGAAATGGTTTACGAGTGCCCGTTCTATGAATATACCAATCAGCGGTCCTATCCTCCGGGCAAAGGCCGAAGATTTAGGACAGAAAATGAATCATGCCGAATTCAAAGTCAGTAATGGCTGGCTGGAGAGATTCAAATCCCAACACGGTATCACGTTCAAATTCGTGTGCGGCGAAGCTGCTTCTGTCAGCGATGGCATGTTTGATGACTGGGTAAAGTTAACATTACCCGGGCTCATCGATGGCTACGCTCCCAGAGATATTTTTAATGCCGACGAAACTGGGTTATTTTTCCGCCTGATGCCCGATAAAACATTATCATTCATGACGAATGCTCTGGAAGAAAGACAAGTAAAGAAAGATTGACTGTGATGCTTTGCGCAAATATGGATGGATCTGAAAAACTCAAGCCACTGGTCATGGGAAAATCAAAAAACCCTAGGTGTTTTAAAAAACGTAAAATCCCTACCCGTCGATTACAAGGCAAACAAAAAAGTTAGGATGGTCAGCGATTTGTTCATCGAATGGCTACACAAACTGGAAAAGAAGTACAAACGCCAGAAAAGACAAATTCTAATGTTCGTCGACAACTGTCACGCCCATCCAGCTGTCAAAAACCTCAAAGCCATCAAACTCGTCTTTCTCCTGCCTAATACAACTTCGAAGCTGCAACCGATAGACCAGGGCGAGATTAGGAATTTCAAGTGTTTTTACCGCCAACGAGTAGTTCAGAGAATGTTGGTGAATCTTGATTCAGGTGAAACCCTACCCATGATCAATGTCAAAGATGCGATCGACATGCTTCATTCGTCCTGGCAAAAAGTTACCGATACCACCATTGCCAACTGCTTCAGAAAGGCGTCGTTTGTACATTCGCCAAATCCTGATATGAAACAGGAAGCCAGCATTGCCGATCGTGGAGACATTACGGCTGAAAACACCAGTGATGTTGAATGTTTATGGGACAATTTAGCCCATCATATCGAATTGCCAGAAATTTCATTTTCTGGTTTTGTCTGTGCAGACGACGAAACTGGTGTTTGTGAATCCCCATCAGACGATGCAATCATAGCGTCCATTTTGGAACAAAACGCTGAGGCCTACAACATCGAAACTTTGTTTTTTTCACAACTTTCAACTATCGAGGACATGCTGTTCACATCGATTTGTTCTGGTCGCCGTCAAACCAAAATTACCGACTTTTTAAAATAGCCATCCGTGTTAATAGCGAACACTTTACATTACAGATTTGTTTACCGTATTACAAATGTAATGGGTGCAATGTGAATTTAATTTTTTATGACTGAGAAATCATGAAACGAATACAATGAATACATGTACATGTGTGTTTGTGTATGCATACGTGACAAATTCAGTCGATCCAGCATGGACGTACTAAGAATTTCTTTATTCATAATGAACAATACATTTGTATTTTCCATTTTAATATTATTTTAATAAACATGACAACGTTTATTTCAATACTATTTGTGCGTTTTTAATGTTGGGTCTAGTGTTTAAAATGGCGCCATAGTTTTGTTTACCCTGACTTATGGTAATTAGTTTGTTGACGCAAAGCGCCCTCTAGTGACGATCGGTTATTACGCACACCGGTTATAACGAATATATTCACCTAGGACCTTGATATTCGCACTAACGAGGTTTGACTGTATCTAGTGATAATGGCAGTCCTTCAAATCCATGCCATAGATCTACCATGTAATATATCTAG